TTTAAAATTAGGCCTACAAGCCCCGCCCAAATGTCCTATTTCAACAGGAAATACATCAACACAGGAAACAAAACTGTGCCTTCATCATTTCGTGCTGTCTTTAAATGTGAAAACAAGAAGTTGATTTAGCATTTGCTGAGCACCAACACAATCACATGTAAAATATTGTTGGATGTGCCATTTCAATAATCAGATATGATCTTCCAATCTTAGCAAAACAAGCTAACATGTTAACTTAGAATAAGTTCATTGTCACTCTGTGAAAAAGGTAACTAACCAAAAACCTAATTGATCTGGAAAAGCTAAAGCACAGATTGGTAGGCCTTAACTGAATAAATCTGTCACACTGGCCACACACTTGAGCTTTGAAATACCTACATTGAAGTTATTCATTTCATAAAGGCAAACAATGAAAAGAGAGAAATAATAAACGATGGCTGTAGCTTCAATCAGTAATCATAAAACATGACAAAATGTGCTGATTTGCATCTTGTCATCTTGACCTCAAGATCCTTTGTGTAAACATTTTGTGTAAAACTTTGAAAAGTAATTTGAATAGAAAAAATACAATTTGATGGTTCAAACTGAGAAAATATTTTTTCGTTAATAAGGATAGTTAAAAGGATAGTTCTCTCAAATATTAGTGAGATCTTATTTTGTATCTTTTTTTGTGTTCCACACAAGACAACTCAGGTATAGATTAAGAGTATACTTCAAGTTTTCTGCCTAGTAGACAAACCAAGGCACCAGGTAATTGTAGGGAATACGAATAGTTTGCTTGACAAAACATCTTGGAGGTGTGCATCGTGATGTTCATGTTGAACTATTTGTTCTTTTGCTGATCAAAAGTGGTCAGATATGTGATGTAAACCTGAAGACTAAAAACACTTCTCTTTGACCTATCATACACATAACACATTATAGACTTCTATAATTCAATGTTAGGCTGCATAGATTAGGTCAGCCGGAACCGGGAACACTTCCTATAAATCCTGATGTACTCGTTACATCATAAGAAGAATGGCGTCTACGCTACTATGAGTCTCTCTGTTTATCCCGAGGTTTACCGCAGTCCGCTGGATCCAGGCTGTATCCGGATCTGACGAAGGACCTGCGCCTGGACACGACGACATCGCAATCCTGAAGTGTCAACTAGTCTCTCCCCTGTGAAGGCCTCCTTCCCTTTACCTCTGTACAGATAAAAATGTTGTCAAAATAATTTGGGTTCACATGTCTACGCGGAAGTGATAAATAATTCTGTATTATACATTTTTAAGGCCAGACAAGTAATTTGTTGAGGTCAATTTGTAAAGAAAGACATGCCTGCGTACATATATATTAGCATAGACTAAACACATAATACGCATGTGCACGCCGTCAGCGTTTTCAGGTTTGCGTTTTTCTTTTAGAACGGTGTCGTGTTAGCGGCCCCTAAGTTAATAACTAATGATCTTTGCAACGGAAGTGAATCGATCAAAACATACTTTAGCTGGACAATAACAATAGCTGACAATAGCTGCTGTAAAGCCAAAACAATCTATGTTACCTTAATTTCCTTCCCATTTTTCCCTTCCCATATTGTTAAAAGCGCTACATAAATGAAGGTGACTTGACTTGACGTGAATATCAGTGTCTTTTTTCCCCAGAATATTCAGTCTTGATCAGTTTGTGCTCAGTGTAAGGCAGACCATGGCACGATGCAATCTGTCAGACAGTACTGCCCTCTGCTGGCAGCTATGAGAGCAGGCATGCTGTACATTGTCCTTAAATGGGATTTTGTTGCATGCATTTAAATGAGAAGATCAATAGCCCATATGACACATTACAGTAGTAAAATCTCTAATATTTGTATAATATTTGCATCTCAGTTGTGGTGTAGAGGTTATAAAACATTACTGTTGTGTTCGATTTAACTCTTAAAGGATCTATTAACCTATTAAAATAATACATTAAATGCAATTCAGGTATAACATTAATTCAATGCACTTTTTGACGAACATGTTAATTTGTCGAACTTTGTCGAAATTTGCTTAAACCTCTGTGTTGTTGTTTGTCGGTCGTTGTTTATTTTTAAACCATTTAAAACATTTTGAATACATTTTTGTAATGCATTAACTAACCTATAAGCTGACAATGAGCCATATATATTTTTTACAGCATTTAACCTTTGTTAATGTCAGTTAGCAAAATGTTCATGTTAGTTTACAGTGCATTAGCTAATGTTAACAGATACAACATATTGATCTTACAAATGTAGTAAATAAAATTAACTAGAAGTATTGTTGTTCATTCTTAGTTCATGTTAACTAGTTAATAATGTTAACAAATGAAACCTTATTGTGAAGTGTTATCAAAAAATATACTTACAGTAGATAGTAGTATAGTCTCTCTAGTTTATCATCCATTAGATAAGAAAGCGTCTTCACTCCTGAATCTCATTAAATTGACAGATCTAGATCTCTCAGGTGTTCAGGGTTTGATCTCAGAGCTGAAGCCAGATCAGGACAACCTTCATCTGTGACACCACAATTACTCAACCTGTAACAAACAAGTATGCTTTTTACAATGATGCGTTGTAAAATGCTTGTAAAATGAACCAGTTTATTAAAGATTGCAATAATGTTCGAGGTGATTTGAATTGAAGACAATATCTCAATAAAAAACGGTTTTGAATGACAAAAACTATGACGAAAATCTTTTAACATGTTTGTCAACGAATAAAAACAAGACCAACATGTTAGAGAGACAACATTTTTGGGAAGAGATCTAGTCAGAACTGATGTCCTGTACAAGCACACATTTGAATTGTAACGTGCTGAGCTTCCCGGCGTGACTTAAGTTGGCATACACTTGCACATGTCTCATAAAACGTTTAAAAATGTAAACGTCTGGGAGAAAGAGAAGAGCAGGCATATGGATAAATCTGAAAAAGCGTGATGAGGTGAAAGAGAGCTCACCTCATTCTGCGTTTCTGTGCACCCAAAGCCATCAGACGCTGGAGCACGAGTAGGCTACTGAATTCAGCTCTCTTTCACATCTTTCCCGCACAAATACACACAAAAAGTCCCATGTAGTCAATAATTTTATCCCTTAAAACTCATCTTTGATCACCAAAATAACATTATTTATCTGTGAAAAGAAAACTATTCATGCCTTAAAATAGCTTGTATGTGTGTTTGAACCAGAAACTGTTTCAGAAGAAGAAGAAGAATAAGAACCGGAAGAAGAGTGAATTATACAGGCTTGTCTACAAAGTTGATGATATATCAGAGTGGTAATGCATTTTATGTATGGCTCTTTACAACGGCAGACACATAACGGTAATTAACATGATTAGCCTTTTGCTTGACTACTTCATCAAACAGCTAATAATGTGTTGCTAACGTTACTGAAACCAAGTTCCCGTTCGCCATCTCAGTCTGCCTTCCAAAAATCAGTATCCTTAGAAACGCTTATCCCAACTTTGAAAGTCAGAAAGCCATATAGTTCATCATAACATCGTAATATACATAATTCACTTTCCATTTCGCTAAACGTTCGCGAATTTTCATACCCACTAAACATTGGACATCGGATAGAAGTGCAGATCATGTCTATATTGGGTCCGCCGGTCCATGACCAATTCTGGACATCTATTCGACGTCCAAACTAGGTTCACTATTTGGACGTCATATTGACGTTCAACATTTGACCTGTGAACTGGGTAATTTTTTTGGACCTCATTTGGACGTCTATGACAGGTGCAGGAAATTTACATGATTAATATGCAATATTTTTTTATTTACAAATATCAACATTGTTGTTATCAACATGATTAATACATATGAATACAGATTATTTATAATTATTTAAGATCATTTTCCAAAAACTCAGCAGGTGATAACTGGACACGCATACAAAGGTAATGCTGTAGCTCAAACACTAGAGCGTTGGCACTTGCAATGCCAAGATCATGGTTTGATTCCCAGGGAAAGCAAGAACTGATAGGAATGTAAATTTGTAATGCAATGTAAGTCACTTTGGATAAAAGCGTCTGCCAAATGCATACAAAAATACATGGTACAGAAAACATGTCCAGTGTCCTCCACCCTTTTGAAACATGGGACTACAGTTATAGAAGTTGAAACGACGTCTAAAATTTGTCTAAATATTATGTTGAAAAGACGTCCACAAACGACCACATTTGGTCCCACGGACATCAACATTAGATGTGCAGTAGACGTTGAAAAAAGACGTCGCCTGGCGTTACAAAACAACCCCTTCAGTGGACCGAAATTGGACGTCCAAAAATTACATAGAAAAGACGCCACTCCGACGTCACATTGATTGCGCAGTGGGTATCAACAGAAAAATATACCAGGATAACATCTAGGTTACTAATGTAGGAAGAAGGGACTCTATCACTGACACTCCATCTAACCCTGTTCAGTGAGATATTGGATAACACTGTCACTGGGAAAGCTGGCCTATTCCAACCAGAAAAGTAAAGCAATGAATGGCGCAGAACAACACACGGGAAGACGCCGGCTCCATTTGGAGATTGTATCTTGCGAATGTTTTAGGTGTCGCCCATTCTACAATCTCCAAAATGGAGCCGGCGTCTTCCCGTGTGTTGTTCAGCGCCATCCCCCTCTGAACATGGGATGTGAGCACCTATTCTGTTCCTCAGGTGAGTTCCCCAGCTGGTGAACCCTGGTGCAGTTTCTTTTCCGGTTGGAATAGGCAAGCTTTCCCAGTGTTATCCAATAGTCTCACTGAACAGGGTTAGATGGAGTGTCAGTGATAGACATTCTCCATCCAAAGCCCTGTCCCTTCTTCCCACATTAGTAACTATAATAATGCTAATGATATTATGTATTAAATATTTTTTTTTGAATTCCAGGAGCAGCGTAATGAGCTTTTGGATGATTTGTTTTGTTGTGTTGTGTCTGTAGCAGATTCATGCATTCTCCTCCAGGCATGCAGAGGGCGCTAACTCAGCTCCTGGTGGGTTAGTGTCGCACAGTAGCGCCGCTACGAAGTGTCAGAAGAAGACTGGAGTAAATGGACGCTTCCATGTCGCGAATGTGAGGCTGACAAAGATTAATTTTACCTATCTGCCAACCTCATCGAGATCACAATCGTGTCACATATTACAACGGTAAGATGAATTTATTTTGTATGCTATATCTGATTTATAAAATGAAGGATGAGTAATTCATCTGATCTTGCTCACGCTTTTAGAACTAAGCGCTGAACTCCCACTGTCTTATTAATGTCAAAATTAATTGAGGGGTAAGAGATTAAACAGCTATTTTCACGTAAACATCACATTTACATGTATAATTCAGCTACGTGACATAATATACGCGATCAGCGATATCGGAAAGAATTGGTATTTAATGGATTTCAGTGTGTGATGTCAACACGAAACTAAAGTGTGTTAAACTTAAAAAATGTTACACAGACTCTAAGCTGATCTTGTTTATTGTGAATTCCCTTTAAATAACCATGGTACTGCAATGATATCTAATGTTAATACAATGATATAGTTGGTATTTTATAAACCCTGAGTATTTCCACGTCATTCAACCTCAAATTGAACGAAGTAAATAAGAAATGTATGGTTTGCTTAAAGTAAATGACGCATATTTTAATATAATTTAGAATTTTCCATATTTACAAGAAAAAGATTTTACAGGTTGTTTCAAAGCAGCTTCACAGTAATACACAAGACAATAACATCAAAAAAAATTCATCAATTATGAAACAACTTTAAGCTGTCAAGCAGATCTACAGGAGACAATAGTGTCATGATTCAGTTTAATTTTGATTCAGTTCAACAATGTTGCAAAGTTATGAAACAACTTTAAAAGCAGCTTTACCGAAAACAGTAGTGTCAGCTCAGTTCAAGTTTTTGTGTTCTCATTTAGATAGTGTCAGTACAGTCAAATTGATCATATTTTCTCAATATATATTTGTCTTTTAAGCATGTTTGAGGTTAAATAAATAACCCTAACCCCATAAATAATAACTAAATGTTAATTTATGGTTAAGCCTTTTGCAGTACAGATTATTGCTGTTCAACGGCGGACTGATAGTCCAATTTGGCATCAGCCTTCAATTCCTTCCAAATGAAGGACGGCAAGGAGAACTCTAACGCCACTTTTGGAAGTTTTGCCACAAATCTGGACCACACAAAGCCATGCTGGTACTGGGACAAGAAGGATCTGGCCCACACCCCGTCCCAGTCGGACGGCCTGGACCCAGCCACAGAAGCCCGGTACAGACGAGAGGGGGCCCGGTTCATATTTGATGTCGGGACACGTCTGGGACTGTATCCTTTTACTTTTGATGCTGCCATTTCTACCTTTTTAATGCAGTTTAGTGCAAGGACGTCTTGCTCGGCTGACATCTGTGTAGGACTGAGTTTTAAATACTGAGAGGAATTTGATATTATCCTTAACCCAATTTTTAAGACATTATGACACTCTGGCGACTGGAATAACATACTTTCATCGTTTTTACATGTTTCATTCTTTCAAGCAGTTCCCTAGATATGTAAGTACAACATGCTTTGAAAATCTGGTCATTGCTATTTTATGTGTATTTTATTAAAAAAATATATATATATATTTTATGTTTGGCAGGTGCTACAGGAACCTAGGAATATTTGTTTTGATTTTGTAGTGATAAAGCAAAAAGGCACTTGAGATTGTGGTTTTATCATTTTTCTGAATTAAAAATGGTTGTATATACGGCGGGCACACCCATTCAGATTCATTTGCAAAGCAATATATAGACTACATTTATTTTAATATACTGACCACCGTTAAATACCACAGTAGTAGTACTAGATCTCGAGTACGGTTGAGGGAAGATGGGTCTTTGGTTAAAGCCAAATTATTATTATTAAATTCTCATAAACCTCAATTGCAAAAACACAGAGAGCTATGGAGACCCTGAAGGGACATGGTGAAGGGAAAAATATGAGATGGAGGAAAAATTATTTTGTAAAAATTATTATGTTATGTGTAACTTCAAAAAACTTTGCGTTCCCTCGCACAAACTTCTGCGTTCGGCCGAGAAACTTTGCGTTCCCTCGCACAAACTCCTGCGTTCGGCCGAGAAACTTTGCGTTCCCGTTCCCTCGCACAAACTTCTGCGCTCGGCCGAGAAACTTTGCGTTCCCGTTCCCTCGCACAAACTTCTGCGCTCGGCCGAGAAACTTTGCGTTCCCGTTCCCTCGCACAAACTTCTGCGTTCGGCCGAGAAACTTTGCGTTCCCGTTCCCTCGCACAAACTTCTGCGCTCGGCCGAGAAACTTTGCGTTCCCTCGCACAAACTTCTGCGTTCGGCCGAGAAACTTTGCGTTCCCTCGCACAAACTTCTGCGTTCGGCCGAGAAACTTTGCGTTCCCTCGCACAAACTTCTGCGTTCGGCCGAGAAACTTTGTGTTTGCTCACAAAGAGCTCAAAAGGTTTTGCGATCGAACGGCAAGTTTCTCGAGGGAATGAAAAATGTTTGCGCGAAAATGCAAAAGCATAGACTTATTATTTTTCCTCCCGTCTCATTATTTTTTTTTCTTCACCACCTTGATTTGTGCAAATTTGACATGAATTGCTTATCTTTTACTATATATATGTGGGTAAATATAGCTGTAAATTGATATTCTTCAATTGTTATGAATAATGGATTTTTACTTAAGTTTTTGAATTAAACACATTTAATCTACAAGACCATACAATTACTATTTGGTCCAATTTATGGTTATTAAGAGTAATTTGGAGTTTTTATTTCGATGGCCTTTAAAGTCCCCCTGCAGTCAAATCTTTTATCTGTTAAAACTCATCTTTGATCACCAAAATGACATATTTAAACCTTTTTTTTTCCCTGTGAAAATAATTTCTTCTTATAATAGCTTGAATGTAACTCTACACCCTCACTTCATTTAGTATACGCGGAACCATGAATATGCAAATGAGCCTCCACTCACTCACACCAGCTCAGAGATCCACTCAGTCAACTTTACTGTAGTAAACGCTGCACGATGGCAAGTGGAAATACTGGTATAATTCAGCCATGTATGTTTGAACCAGAAACTGATTGCGAAGAAGAAGTGGAAGAGTGAATTATATAGGCTCGTAAGTCGATAATTAATATGATTAGCCTTTTGCTTGACTATGTTATCAAACAGCTAATAATGTATTGCTAATGTTACTCAAACCATGTTCTCGTTCGCCATCTCAAGACCCTTTCACACAAAGATTCCAGAAAATACATTAATAATTGTTTTTTTGGGAGCTAAAAGCATCTCGGTTGAAAGATTGGGACTGAGTAAACGGTGAATGTTAAAGGTTAGCAGGAGCCTGACGTTTATTCGTTTACGCTTCCCTCCACAGGTGACCGGGGCTTGTTGTCTCTTCCTGGCTGGTAAAGTAGAAGAAACCCCCAAGAAATGTAAAGACATCATCAAAACCGCTCGCAGTCTGCTCACCGATGTGCAGTTCGCTCAGTTTGGAGATGATCCGAAGGTTTGTAACCCATTCAACACACGAACTCTCAGTCTTGTCATGGCAGCACTGTATCAAACATCTCTTGTTGTTCGTGGGATGTTTCCACAGGAAGAGGTCATGGTCTTGGAAAGAATTTTACTCCAGACAATCAAGTTTGATTTACAAGTTGAACACCCCTACCAGTTTCTGCTGCGCTACGCTAAACAGCTCAAAGGTATTATTAGGTTTGAGACAGAGTATACAATTTCATTTTGAATTTAAGAAGTCAATTCAAGTTGTTGTTTTTTTATATAGTGCTGCTTTGTGACGTTGTTCATTGGATGGTTTAATTTTTAGGTGACAAGAACAAAGTTCAGAAGCTTGTGCAGATGGCGTGGACGTTTGTCAATGACAGGTTGGATTGACTTTATTTATTACCAGCAATGAAACTGTATTTTTATTATTTGTATCATTAATTATATATTTTTTGTCCCCATTTATCATTCAGCTATCGCCATATATCCATATCAGAGTTATTATAGTTAACCAAGATTAACCATGAAATAAACCACCTGAAATAAAATATTAAAAAGCTTAAACTTATTTTTTTTTCATCTAGTTTTCAAATCAACATTTCAAATCAAAATAGAAAATTAATTAATTGAAATAAAAATTCATTTTCCTTGAAATAAAAATCTTTTCTAAATCTAACATAAACTTGTTACTAAAACAACAACATTACTAACACTTTAACTAAAATGAAAATGAAAACAGAAGATACAAAAATGTTTCTAAAGAACATTAAAGGAGTAGTTCACTTTTAAAAAAACTTTTGCTGATAATTTACTCACCCCCATGTCATCCAAGATGTCCATGTCTTTCTTTCTTCAGTCGAAAAGAAATTAAGGTTTTTGATGAAAACATTCCAGGATTTTTCTCCATATAATGCACTTTACTGGGCACCAAACGGTCCAAGGTCCAAAAGACAGTTTCAGTGCAAACTGCAAACTGTTCAAATGGTTTTAAATGATTCCAGACGATGAATAAGGGCCTTATCAAGCGAAACGATCGGTCATTTCAAAAATAAATAACAAAGTTTAAGTTTTATAAGCTCACATGCTCGCCTTGCTCTGTTCTGTGTGACTCTCCTGTTCGAACTCGTTCATCAAAATGAACAAATCTTTTCCTGAGTCAATTCGTTCATTTCGGTCGTTAAATGAATCAAATGACTCGAAAAAAGATTTGTTCATTTTGATGAACGAGTTCGAACAGGAGAGTCACGAACGTGCATCACAGAACAGAGCAAGGCGAGCATTTGAGCTTATAAAACTTAAACTTTGTTATTTATTTTTTAAATGACCGATCGTTTCGCTTGATAAGACCCTTATTCATCGTCTGGTGTCATTTAAAACCATTTGAACAGTTTGCACTGAAACTGTCTTTTGGACCTTGGACCGTTTGGTGCCCAGCAAAGTGCATTATATGGAGAAAAATCCTGGAATGTTTTCATCAAAAACCTTAATTTCTTTTCGACTGAAGAAAGAAAGACATGGACATCTTGGATGACATGGGGGTGAGTAAATTATCAGCAAAAGTTTTTTTAAAAGTGAACTACTCCTTTAAGAGATATTGTGATTTTCGTTTTGTGCCATTTATGTTCTTGCTCAATGCAAGAAATAGGAGAACTTGGGGGAGAAATATGGGTGCGTTTACACGACAACGATATGCTTAAAACGGAGAAGTTTTTCCTTTGACTTTTCCGTGTATAGACGACAACCGTTGTCAAAACGCCATTCACACGGATCCGCAAAAACGACTAAAACGCTGTATTCTGCTGCCAGGCCATTAGATGGCGATGTAACACTATAGCCTGAACACGTAATACGCGTGCGCATGATGTCATCGTCTTCAGAGATTCATGTTTTTGTTGTTTACACAGAGACCGTTTTCAAAAACTTGCACTTTGAAACTCGCCATTGTCGTGTAAATGAACGGCCAAAGCGCATAAAAAGTTTTACGTTTTTAGGGATGCACAATTTGTGACATTGCAACTTTTCTAGTTTGTATGTCTTTTGACCACAGGTGCTTTGTTTACAACAGCGAGGGAACTATTATCAATGACGTTGAAACCTTGTTTTCATTTTGCCCAAAAGCAACAAAAGAATGTGCAAGGCTTCGTTTTACAAGCAAAATATTGAATGTCATCATCTTTGACTCTTGCGCAGTAATAACATGTTTATGTGTCGCATGTTCCAGTCTCTGCACAATGCTGTCCCTTCAGTGGGAGCCTGAGATCATAGCAGTGGCCGTCATGTACCTTGCTGGCCGACTGTGTAAGTTTGACATTCAGGAGTGGACGTCTAAGCAGTCGTCCCGCCGCTGGTGGGAGCAGTTTGTACAAGATGTGCCAGTGGAGCTGCTGGAGGGTGAGAGACTGGGTTTGACAAACTCACTCTATGTCCCTCTGTCATAATAATCAATTACACTACCAGTCAAAAGTATTGAATCAAGTCTCTTATGCTCACCAACGCATTAAAAATCATACCGATCCAAAACCCTTGACTGGTAGTGTAGGAACATTAACCCTAGCAGTTAGTTTGTCAGCATGATGTAGTTTTTCTTCATCTCAATACTCTTTTCTTGTGTTTTACAGACATCTGCCACCAGATTCTGGATTTGTACTCGCAGGGTAAGCAGCCGATCCCCCAGCAGCCTCCGATGCAGGACAAGGAGAAACCCCCGCCCCCTCCTGCGGCCCAGCCCAGCCAGTCAGGTGTCCCGAACCCTCCCGCTCAACCCCCCTCCAAGAAAAACTCCCCCCAGGCCAGCCCGCCCGCCAAGATTAAACGCCAACATGTAAGTTAAGCATTTACAGTCAGCTGATATATTTTGGAAAACACAAATTTGTGTCCCAAATTTTCTTAATTGGTGGGTCTAAGGTGCTTTCTCCCTCAGGATTATGGGTAGTGTAGTTCTTTACCAGGGATTTGCCTAAAACTGATTTAATTTTTAAAAGTGGGAATCACATTAAATTGTGGCTTTTACAGAAACTGTATAGCACTGCAATGAACAATTTTGAAATTTGCTGAAAATGAAATGTGCTTTGTTTTTTGATATGAAACAAAGTCTCAGCAATGTAATGCAATGTAAATGTTTATATACAACTTATTTTGATTTGTAGGTCTCTCCTAAAGACGAACCTAAAGCCCCAGCAGGTAAACCACTCGCATGCAGAGGACATTTTATTGTGTCATGATAATGAATGTATATTATGAGATGGTGAATTACCATTATTAAATGTTAATTTGACTTTGTTTCAGAGCAAGTTGGGTCTAAGATACCCCGCCTGGAGAGTCCTATGCCCCCTCTTCCTGTGTCCCAACCCCCAGGTGAGGCTTTCTGTAGTTTGAAATAGGCAAAATACGAAGTAATCTGATTCGTTTACATAACATGTATGGGATTTGCCCAATGGGGTAATATGAAAAATTTGAAATGATCTTGATGCTACATAATAGATTACTCTGCAACCTGGTACTTCAGACAAACTGCTTTTAGTAATGCATATACAAACACATACACACACATGCACTACTGTTCAAAAATTGGGGTCTGTGATTTTTTAGGGCCCAAGCCTTGAAAAGGTGAAGGCCCTATTGTTTTCCTTAGGATTATTATTAGGGCCCAAGCCCTGAAAGGGCGCAGAGCCCTATTGTTTTTCTTAGGATTATTTGTTATTATTGTTTATTAGGGCCCTGAAAGGGCGAAGGCCCTATTGTTTTCCTTAGGATTATTACTCTTCTTTTTATTTTTATTATTATTATTATTTTACTACCTTTTGGGCACTTTTGGGGCCCTCAACGTGCTCTCAAACTCTTGAAACTTTGCACATGGGTCAGAACCCGCGGCCATCATGGCCGGGCTGAAGCTGGTACCTGGGCGTGGCAGGGGGGCTCGACAGCGCCCCCTGGAATGGGGTTTGAACACTTGTCCATATATCAAACACGCTTGCATGTAATAATCTGAAACTCGGTACACATATAGATCTCATCGGGCCGAACAACTTTCGTGCTCTAAGTTTTACGCCAGTCCAACAGGAAGTCGGCTATTTAGGGTTGTTTGGAAACGCATGCTCAGGAATTTGAAACACTTCTCCTAGGGAATTCATTCGATCGTCACCAAACTCGGTGTGCACGAAGTCAAGACATTGAGGAGGAAAAATTTCCAGGGGATTTTTGATATCTCGAACGGTTTGGCCGTGGCGAGGAAACGAATTTATGGCGAGAAAAGAGAAACACGAAGTGTTATAACTTCTGCATACATTAACTGATCTTGATGAAACTTCAGCAGTGTGTTCGTGGTAAGAGGCCGATCAGATGGATGTAACTATTGTGAGTCAAAGTTATAGCGCCACCAACTGGCAAGTGTGTCACTTTCTAAATGCTTTTGACAAAAGTGGGGGGGGGGGGGGGGGGGGTTAGTTTTATCTACAGTAACAAAACTCGGTATGTATATTGTACTCTTCGAGCCGGACAACTTTCTAATTTACAGTCATTAGCTACGACCAACAGGAAGTCAGATATTTTGGATTGAATGTGGAGAAAATCTCAGAATTTTGCCAGTCTCGTGTCTGTTACCCCTTTTCCACCAACAAGAACCAGGTGCTGGTTCAGAGCTAGAGCTAGTGCCAGTTCGGAGTTGGTTCGACTGACGAGCTTTCAAAGAACCGGTTTGCCTTTACACAGGCTAGAGAGCCATCACAGAGCCAGATCTTGCGTCACTGTATACATCTCATGTTGCCCAGCAACGCTAGCGCGGCACACACAAACACACCAGGCTTGTTCGAGATGGATCGGCACTGTGAATCTCGAACTGCGAGAGCGATGCAAAAGCAGAAGGAGTCGTATGCTCTCCAAACACTCCCGCAGCTCCGATCAGTCCACGCCGCTCCGATGCATCTCGAACAAGCCTTCCATCAACAATGCCGGTCTTTGCGTTACTATTTATGCTCATGGCTTTGCAAACCTACATCGGCATCCAAACACGGCGAATCCAGCACGTTCGTGCAGCTCGCCGCAACTTGCATTAACGGAGATTACAATCTAGCTGCTATTAGCACGATTAGCTGCTATTTAAAAAATGGCGGTCACAAGTTTCTGTTCGTCTTGTTGGTCATGGTAACCCCGCCCCCAGCCATGTGACGTAAGCGGTTCTTACTTCTAGACCAGCAATGATTTGGTGCTACTTAAGAACCACTTTTACTGGTTCGGAGCTGGTGCTTTGGTTGTCGAAAAACAAAGAACCGATTTGAAACTAGGCTCTGGCTCCGAAGTGAGTGAGAGGAGGGGGGCTTGTCAGGTTCATTTTAACCCTTTCTTTGCTGTGTGCGACTTCTCTGGCATTTTTGGGGGCCTTAACATGCTCAAAAACCCTTGAAACTTTGCACACGGGTCAGAACCCACGCCCATCAGGGCCGGGCTGAAGCTGGTACCCGGGCGTGGCAGGGGGCCTCAACAGCGCCCCCTTGAACGGGGTCCTGAAAACTTGATCCATATATCAAACATATCCCAAACTGGTAATTAGAAATACGTATCAACAAAAGAGAATCTTTAAGGGCTTTTTTCTTTAAGGGCTGTTTTCCGTCAAAATAAGAAATCAGTGGTTTAACATTAAAAAATGAAGATTTTGATATTGTAATATGAAGATTGTAATATAAACAGGACCAAACACATCTACACACACACACACACACACACACACACACACACACACACACACACAAAAAGTTACATTCAAGTTTGCAGTTAACCACAACACAAAGCACAGGCAAGGGAGGTCAAAACAGATTTTAGCCCAGTGTGACATTTAGCCAAGGTGAGAATGTACAAATGGACCAGATCAGTTATAAAATATGTATATAAAACAAAACAAGTAAATAAATAATAATAAAAGATACTACATATGCTACTTTACCATGAAAGCACTGGCGAAATTTAAGGAGAGTGACAACGATAAAAGAAAACAATTCGATTTAAGTAACATCATTGTCGCTGAATTTGATTAATAGTTAAGAAGCATTTAAGAATAATTAAGAATTCTATTAATACTTAATATCATTTTTTTCTACCTTAAAAACAAAGCCGTTGTCTGAGTAGCAATAATAAGAAAGAACAGATTGCCAAGTGTCATCGTTGTCTCAAATAATTTTTGCTAAATAATTAACAAAAAGACTTTCAGATAAAAAAAGAAGAAATTAAGACCATTAATATTAGTATTGTATATAGGTTGCAAATCAAATAGTATTAATTATTATAAATATTGTTGAAAATAAATATTGTTTTATATTACATTTTAAATCACAATTGTAATTTTTCTTAAAATTTTCAATTAGATTTTTCATCAAGGACTCTATTGATTAGATGGTGTATAAATGATGCTAAAAGCTTGTCTGAACTCTGCCCACACACAGATCGCAAGGCTCCCTCTGCCATCCCAGCGCCTCCTGCTGAAGCGGAACCAGCCACACCTGCTGAAATGGAGCCAGCACAAGGTCCCGCTCCTCCCCTGCCCCACGGGGCCCCGCCGCCTCTACCCCACCGCCCTCCCCCGCCTCCGCCCTCCAGCTATATCATGGGAATGTCCACGTCCAGCTCGTACATGTCCGGCGAGGGGTTTCAGAGTCTGCAGTCCATGATGAAGACCGAAGGGCCCTCTTACGCTCCCATGCCTCCTTCATACGGGCTCCCTTACCACCCGCACGTCTATCCACACCAAAACCCCCCGCCTCCAGGCCCTCCCCCAACCACTTACCCTCCTCCCAATCTGCCCCCGCCCACCCCATCTTACCCTCCTCCAGGCTACAACCCCAGCTACCCCCCTCCACCCCCACGCATGCCACCCGGGCACAGTGTGCCCCCTCCGGGCATGGGCCTCCCCCCCGCTGGGTACCCTCCTCCGCCCGGCCAACCTCAGGTGCCGCTGCCCCCCCACGCCATGCCGCCCGTGGCAGGAATGAACAGAGGGGCGTGGATGAGATGAGAGGTGATGAAATGACACCCTTGATACATGTGCCTGTATACAGTATATACCGTCTGTACCAGGTTTTTATGTATTCGGATGCAGGTTTCACAGGAAGATATGGACATTTCAGCTGCCAAGTTGAACACTGGTGAACTTTGAGTGTCAGGGAGGCCGTGAACTACAACAGACTTCCGCTTGGGTTCAGGGTTTCACCATTCGGTGAGACTTCCTCTCCACTTATCCGAATTAAAGGGATAGTTCACCTCAAAATCAACCTCACGTTGTTCTAAATCTGTGAATTTCGTCAAATCTTCATGGATATTTTTCCATACAGTGAAAATTGGTTGTCTTTCTCCAAAAAGGACCCAAAAACCCCACTATAAAAGTGGATTTGAGAGCTGATTTCAGAAGACTTGGAATATAGTAGTATGAATTATTATTAGTTTTATTTTTAATTCTCATTCTGGTCAATAGAAATGGTTTTTGTATGAAAAGATCCGACAAGAGGAAAAAATTCATCAAAATCTCTCTGTGTTCATTGGAAATAAAAGTCTTACAGGTTTGGAATGACATGAGTGAATAAATAATGCCAGAACTTTCAGTTTGGAGGAACTATCCCTTTAAATTCATTCACATCACCACTTACATTCCAAACACCTTTCTGAATTATGAATTCTTGGTTGTACATATGATTTATTCTGTAATATCTTTAGGGAAACCTTTTTTTTTCTCGATGTTATGTCTTCACATGCCTCTGGCTTTGCTTTTTAGTTGGTGTGTTGCAGAATTCATATTATTTTCTTAGCAACATGGGGAAAATATCCCAAAAATCATCTTTGGCAGTCCTTTTATTCAGATGCGTTTCTGGCATCTTTGAATGAGTTAAGTGCATTGATTGATGGACATAGTTAGTATCATAGTTTCCCGTATGTGCCTTAGTTTGGTTAATAGTTGATTGGCAAAGGACTTGCTGTGCACAGCCACCTTGTGTTTGCTGTTTTTTTAGGCAGATAATAAAAGTCTTTTTTCCCCTTGATCATTATTTGAATTGTCTTGTGTTAAAGAAATGATTGACTCCACCACTGTCATGCTATCAATTTGCAGAGAAACTAATTTTGTTTTGGAATAAGCAAGTAGGCCTATATCCACAAGGTTTAAAAATGATACAGATTAACATGAGAATAGCGTGGGAAAGTGGCTTACAGAAACCTTGCCTGAGTTTCAAACGATACAAACAAGCTCCTGGCTGAATGAACCAGTCATGCAGAAGAAAAAGCATCCCAAGATATTCGTATTTCAGTATACACTGAAACATCACAACATTAAAACCACTGACAGGTGAAGTGAATATCATTGATTATATTTTTACAATGGCACCTGTCAAGGGGTGGGATATATTAGCAAGTGAACAGTCAGAATTTCATGTGTTAGAAGTGTTTGTTATGCCCAGTTCACATTGTATGATTTTGGGCTGTCCCGGATGAAAGATGACCAATCGTGGTGATTTCTGTGGTCCACTCTCCTTAACGGGTCAAAGACGGACGTTGTCACGGTCTTGCGACTAAAGATAACCTGAGATAATTTTCAGACAGGGTCATACATTTAGGATGATCATCTCACAGTGTGTTTTGCTGATACGACCGACGTCTACTGACTAGCCAATAAAAATGCAACAGGAAATGGCGTATTGTTCAATGCGACACGCCGCTTAAACTTAAAATTACTTACCTCGAGCTCCATTTACAATTTTCCCTAGCAATGACCTTGTCCATATTCTCCTCTTTTGCTTTCTCTTTTTTTTTCAGCACACAAATAACACAATTGCCAAAGTTATCAATCTTGCTCTATTTGTTTACCTCTAGCGCATGCTGATGATGTGTTATTCTTCTATAGTAACTTGAGTCGTTTGCCTACGATTCAATAGGTGTCATCATCGTACAGTCTATAGGCCTACATGTCGTACCCAAGTTTATTATATCCATGTCGTACAGTGTGATTTGTAATGATCTTATAAGATTATCGCACAGTCGGTAGCAGGCATTAAAAGCAGGAAAAATGGGCACGTGAAAAGATTGACTTTTACAAGGGTCAAAAAAAGTGATGGTTAGACAACTGGGTCAGAGCATCTCCAAAACGTTAAAGTCCCCCCGCGGTGAAAAAGCTTTTAATGTCGTTACAATGTGGTGTTTTTAAAACAAACCATGTACAAATTCATAAGTCAACACCATTGCTGAGTATTTTCTCTTTAAAACTGCAGTGAGCCAAAGACGTGGCTTGAAATCGCTGGTGTTTCTGGCGTCACAAACTACCTTGTAACCAATCAGATCAACGTGTGCTCGTCAGCGAGTGGATCTCTGAGCTGGAGTGAGTGAGTAAGTGGAGGCGGGGCTCATTTGCATATTCATAGAACCGCATATACTAAATGAGTCAAGGGTGTAGTTACATTCAAGCTATTTTAAGACATGAATTTTTTTTCAAGGAAAAAAAACATTTAAATATGTAATTTTGGTGATCAAATATGAGTTTTAAGGGATACAATTATTGACTACAGGATGACTTGTAGGGTGTTCCCAGTATGCAGTAGTTAGTACTTGCCAAAAGTGGTGCAAGGAAGGCCAACCGGTGAACCCAGGTGCCCAAGGCTCATTGATGCACGTGGGGAGTGAAGACTAGCCCGTCTGGTCCAATCAGTCTGAGTGTCCAATGTCCACGATGACCCCTGTCCACTGCCGAAAGTGCCTAAAATGGGCATGCGGCCAAACCTTGGGTGCTGGAATTCATGTCGTCATGAATATAGCGCTTTATACAATACAGATTGTTTCAAAGCAGCTTTACAGTGATAACAGGAAAATGATTCAAACAGAACTCAAATCTGCTGTAAATAGTGTCATTGTTCAGCTGAAGTCAGTTCAGTCATGTGTACGTTACTTAGACACGTACCACCACCTACCTAAAGATTGTTGCAGACAAGGTACAGCTCTTCATAGCAATGGAGTTTCCTGATGGCACTGGCCTCTCTCAGCAGGATATTTCTGTGGTTCCCAGCCCTGTTCCTGAAGCACCCCCAGCACTGCACATTTCAGACATCTCGCCAATAAAACACCTGATTCAACTCATTAGCCACTCATCAGTAAAATACTCCAAGACCTCATAGGGCATGTCAAGATAAGAGAGACATCAAAACTGTGTAGGGTTCGGGGAACCACTCCAGTAACAATTGTTCAGGAATGGCTTGAGGAACAAGACAAAGAGGTGTTGGTTGGCCTCCAAAACTCAATCCGACTGAACATTGGTGGGATCTACTGAACCAACAAATCCAATACTCGCAACTTGCAGGATCTGTTGCTGGTGTTTTGGTGCCAGATACTGCGGGACACGTTCAGAGGTCTTGTGGAGTCCATGCGTTAGAGACGCTTTGGCATCACGAGGGGGACCTACACGAAATTAGGCAGGTGGTTTTAAAGGGGTCATGAACTGGCTTTTTAAGTTTTTTATATTGTTGTCTGAGGTCAACTTATGACGTCCGCATGGTTTTTACATTCAAAAACATCAAAATGAATAAGTAATAGGCTATTTTCTACCCTAGTTTTGTGCCTAGCTCAAAAACGCTCGGTTTTTATGGGCGTCTCGCATTGAAGACTTGGAAGTAAACGGCCACTGCTTTGAGTGGATAACAGTTTTGCATATTATAATGAGTTTCGTGTAACGCGCGAATCGGTGGGCGGGGCTAAACCGGCCGTGTTGAAGTAGGCGTTGATCTTCTTCTGCTGGGGTGGTGTTTTATCTCCCCACTTTGAAAAATATGGAGCTAATAATATGACAAAATGATTTGAATTTGAATTGTGTAAATTTGAATTATTTGCAAGTGTAATCTAACAAAATTGAATTTTAGGTGGTAGTTTAAATAGTTCTGAATTTGATTTTTTTTAAACGAATATTGAACATTTAAAAATTTAACAAATTGAAAGGTTTTTATGGCTGAATTTTATAGACATGTATTTTCAAACAGCTAGTTTTTTTGTTCTGAATTCAAATACTACAAATATTCCGTTTTAAAAAATACAGATTCAAGTTTTCAAGATGAAGAAATTCGGAACTTCAAATTCAGTTTTCTAAAATTCAATCTCAAAAATTCAAACTCAAAAATTCAGGTCTTACAGAAAGTAGGCCACAGGTCATCCACAGGGAAGAGTAGATGATCTCAGAAAAGCCGAACAGAGCATTTTGGTCCATTAGGGACTGCAGAAGGTTTCTTAAACATGAATGATTTTGTGTTTGTTAGCGTTCTCATCACGTGAGACATTTGTCTTAGCAGTCTCTGGTGTTTGTTTTAAAGTATATTTTGTGTAAAATTGATTAGAACGCCACTGTGTCACCTACAAAGACAGGACGCGAGCGGCGCGGCGCGACGCAACACAGTGCTTGAAGCGACTGTTGCAAAGAGCTGAGACTAGGTCACAAATAGGATGGGGAATCCGTGTGCTGTTGGGGATTTCACGGGTTGCGTCGCTCCGCTCGCGTCTGGTCTAGACTGCGTCGTACATGTACTGCTAGTAAGCATAAGGTACGAGTGTGAATTAGCCATTAAATGTCTTACAATAAGCCTACCTACCTACCTAATGCAATTGTCCTTCAATATTAAAGTCTTCTCTACTGATTGATGACTGACTCATTAATAAAGACGGTCTTTAATCAATTTTACACAAAATATACTTTAAAACAAACACCAGAGAGCTTAGACAAATGTCTCACGTGATGAGAACGCTAACAAACACAAAATCATTCATGTTTAAGAAACCTTCTGCAGTCCCTAATGGACCAAAATGCTCTGTTCGACTTTTCTGAGATCATCTACTCTTCCCTGTGGATGACCTGTGACCTACTTTCTCTAAGACCTGAATTTTTGAGTTTGAATTTTTGAGATTGAATTTTAGAAAACTGAATTTGAAGTTCCGAATTTCTTCATCTTGAAAACTTGAATCTGTATTTTTTTTAAAACTGAATATTTGCAGTATTTGAATTCAGTACAAAAAAACTAGCTGTTTGAAAATACATGTCTATAAAATTCAGCCATAAAAACCTTTCAATTTGTTAAATTTCAAATGTTCAATATTCGTTTAATAAAATCAAATTCTGTTAGATTTCAAATTTTGTTAGATTACACTTGCAAATAATTCAAATTTACACAATTCAAATTCAAATCATTTTGTCATATTATTAGCTCCATAGAAAAACGAGTCGTTTGCTGAGCCTGGTGTCAATAAAAGCTTTTATTGGACTAACAAGGACGTTTTCAGTTCTGAAACTTACAGGATATTCTTATAATATGATGACCTCTTAGATGTCAAAAGCTCAAGGAAAATTTGATTTTTCAGTTCATCACCCCTTTAATATTGTGGCTGATCAGTGTCTAAAATGAACACTTTATTATAACTGATTATAACTAAGCAAATGTAATAGTTATATTAACGTTAGTATAACGTGCTAAAAAAATAAAAATAACTTAAAGTCCCCCTGTCCCCCAGTCAATAATTGTATCCCTTAAAACTAACCCTATCACCAAAATAACATATTTAAATGTTTTTTTTCCTAGGAAAAAAATTCTTCATGCCTTAAAATAGCTTGAATGTAACTCTATACCCTTGCCCTTGTTTACTAAGCATTTTGCGAAGCATTCACATAATAAAAAATGTGTGGTCGTAAAACAATGATAACCAAAAGCTACCAACTCAAATGTTTTGGTTTGAATTTTGGGATGTCAATGAGATTAAATGAGTGGGAAAATAAGTAACTTACCCCTGTTGCCAATAGGGGGCATACTTCTCAAACATTTATCTTATTATCTTGCATTGGTGTGTGAACTGGAACCAAGTTTCACATCAAGTGGCAACACACAGTACCAAAATATATACCAAAATACGCAGCCAATAATTCACCAAAGAAATGTGGTAAGCACAAACCATGTCACAAACCGCTGTTTAATGTAAGTGTTATTTATAAAAACTTAATTTAGCAAGTGACACAAATCTGTACCTCACTTTTGACAACAACAACTATGCACAAAATACATTTAGCTGCATTTTTGCCACTGTTTTTGGAAACCTAACCTAAATATTCTACATAAAGTACATAAAATGTTTAGTAGTTGATCTTCAATTTATTGGATTAGGTTCTAGACACTTGTTGCTATAAAAAAAGAGTATTAAGTCATTGTAACTGTTTTCCACATTGATGAGTCCACACGGCTCAGATGTGGGCCGACACTATGTTGCTGTCTGGGCGAAACTCAAGTTGTTTTATAATTGATGATTTTTTTTGGTAAACATTGACACTGTTAAAACGGTTTATTACTGTAAGGTTGCTTTGAAACAGTCTGTATTGTCTACACAAATAAACGTGACGAGTCAAAGCAATAGTTTATTTTATTGACAAAATCGGCCTGGTTCACTTTGTACAACTTTTTCCTTTACATCTCTGCCATAAAATATCACCCCGACGTCTCCTGCAGCCATGCTTGCACCTATTAATACTGAAGACAGGATAAACCTCAGAGGTTTTACACAATAAAACAACACAGGGTATCGGTGCATAGGTTTCAAACAAAACCTCATGCACAAAAGAGGCAGCACATGAGCCAAATAAAATCATAAAAAAAAAAAAAATGGCTTTGTGTTCAGACCGTTTCCCAAGAGAATCTGAAATAGGATCTGTTTGCAACTCCTTTCATTAACAACAGTAACTTCTCATGTTTGTGACACAGGTGGGTCAAAACTCATGCCAGCCAATCAAACGCACTCTTCCCGAAAGAGAAAACCTCTGATCAATTTGTTAAAACTCTTCAGACTCTTTCTTAAGACATTTTTTGGCTATGTTCAGAAAAGCTTACTAGCATATTACTAGTCATTTTTGCTGTATATATTTACCGAAATGCAGTATACAACAAAGACATTTCACAATATTGTATCCCACAATGCAGTGCGTTCAACCTTCCATTTGTAGCGTGAAGATCGAACTGGAATTGGCTGCAATTTATTCGAATATGAAATATCCCAGACAGCAACATAGTGTCGGCCCAGATCCGGCCCACGTTAAATCCAAACGTGCCAGATGTGGGCCGACACTATGTTGCTGTCTGGGATTTTATTTGAATTTTCCATATGATGTTATATGTGTATTGTTTTACATACTGTTAACTTGTTTTTTTTAACATTTCTATATTAGTATTCAGCATATATTGCACAATAACTAGTATGCTAGTATTGCATTCTGAACACAGCCTTAGTATTTCAATTATAAGCATGCCTGTTTTACAACTTGGTTAGCTCAGTAGTTTATCTGACATCGAGAAAAAGAAAGCAGGAAAAAGAGACTCACATACATACATTAAACTGTTGCTGACATGCATTTATATTAGCTGAACATCACTTGCTATATCCAGAGCTTGACCACTACTTAGGATTGATGCTTGTTCTCTGCCGAACAGCAGGCCCTGCAGACTTTTGAGGGTAAATGTGTGGAATTTAAACACAAAATGTGTTATATAGTGCTGAAAGTGCTACACTACACATTAATAACTGAAAAAAATGATCAAATTAGCCATGATACTGAATAATCCAACAAGCAAAGGGTGGGAAACTACAATTTCTCTCAACATGAGGACAAGCGAGCTGTCCGTCTATAAATCGGTAAACAAAGTAACTTGCGTTACTTATTTGAAAAAGTAAATGTACATATTTTGATGTCAACTTTACTTTAGTAGTTACTTGAAAAAAAGTAATCTGATTACGTAACTAACGTTACTTGTAATGGGTCACTACCCCCAACACTGGTGGTGTGTTAAGCCTTGAACATGAACGGGCCTTCAGGAGTCTTAGATTTGAAGGTCATCCCTACTTTAAGGTTGAACTGGACAGCTTATATCTTTAAACATTTGGTTAGGACAATGTTTTCTGTCAATATATTAGTCTTGACTGTTAATGGGTCAGTTAAAATGGACTCAGTGTCATTCTCAACCTACTGTAATTATGTACAGTACATAAAGAAAAAGGCTGGAAAAAGGACATATATATATATATTGTTTCAGACACATGATTTACACTTGTGATTTCCCCAGACCTGAGAGACGTGATTGTCAAGAATGCACAGCATACCGTTTTAAAATTTGACATCTTAAACATACAAAAACAATGGATTTTCAGTTGTGAATTTGTTTTTCATACAGGAACAGGGTAAAATCATATTTAGCATGTATTGTGCTGCTATTGTGTCTCAGTTGCATTGTCTACAAAGTGTTGCGCTGTTAAGAAACCCCATACGCTGTTGAGTTAAAAACAGCCACTAGAAAAAGTAAAAAGACTTAAAAAGACAACATAATAATAAAGTGATCTAAAGCTTATGTACATATCTTACATTGCCTTTTAGAGTCATTTCTGTACGTTACTGATGCACAGAAAGGGCACCAGAACACAGTGGAGTGACGAGCGAGTGAGTCTTATCTGGTATCGCCCACTTTGCTCTGAAAGTTTGATGGACCCAACTTTGTCTAGAAGATCGTAAGGACACAATAAGGAGTCTTCTGACATCAATGTTATGTAAAAGAATTAGAAAAGAAAAAAATAGGCGGTAAAAAATACAGATGAGGCAAACTGACTGAACATGACTAGCTGCCAGTCATAAACACTTCATGGGCCTTGTCCCAAATTACACCCTTCTTTGTGGAGTCTACATTTGACCGCATTGACTGTTCAATGACTGTTGGCTCATAGAAGATTGGTGTCATTTGGGACAAGTCCATAAATTCAAACAAGATCCATCACGGCAATAAAGAAATGATTAATAGTCAAACACTGTTATTTAAATGTGGATTATTGCTTTGAACGTTCACTGATTCACTGAATATAAAACATGGCTACTATCTGAAAACTGGTGTGGAGTGATCCAACGCCGAAGTTCGCAAGTCGACTTGACATGGAAGATGGTTGTGGACGGGAGTGTTCGTGTTGCCCGTTGTTGCTGTGAGCAGTTTCTCAGTTTGGCCCTGCTGGAGTTTCATGTTGGGTGAACAGGAGGAGGGACGTTCCTCGTGTGCTCGAGCTGCTATAGAGGACCTTTGAACTGATTCCCAGAGAGCTGCTGTCGGACAGATGGCTTTGATCCAGCTGCGTCGCCCAGCTTTCGCCACACCACCTGAACACAAAGAGGCGAGTCAAGAAACGGCTGTCCAGAACCTGCCTCTTACAACACGTTATCATTCCTCAGTCCTTTCTATGTCAATTAGCCTCATATTTCATTTGTAGCCTATAATTAGGGATGCACTAACTCCTGTTTTTACCGAAAAAAACAGTGGTTAATCTATAATATTTTGTTTAAAATCAATCGTTTTAAATGCTACCAGTCAATTTGCGCATCACAATGTTATAATGTACAGTACAAGATGGATTTGAATTTAAAGATTACATTGAACAGTGTTATTTGTGTTATAAAGTGAGTATTAGATGACGGAAAAGATAATCAAAGGGGGCATTTTCAACTAAAACTGGATGATTTATGTGTTTTGGACGTTCATTTACACAACGGCGTTTTGGGGGCCTGAATATATGCAAACTTTTGAAAACGGGATTTAAAGTGCAAGTTTTTAAAAATTAAACTGTTTTTATCTCCATGCTAATTTGTGAAAACGTGTTCAGTCTATATGTGCGTAGTGTTTCTTTACAAAGTGACAGCGCCAACTACTGGCCTGGCATGAATAATACAGCGTTTTTAGTTGTTTTCGCGGATCCGTGTGAACGGCAACCGTTTTGACAACGCTGTCTTCTAAACGCAAAAGGAAAAACTTTCCAGTTTTTAGTACATAGTTGTCGTGTAAACACCCTATTGAGGGTACGTTTATACGACAACTATACTAAAAACGGAAAAGTAAAACTATGGGAAAAGGAGCATGCACAATTAAATAACTAACATCGACCATAAAAAAAAAATAAAAAAAAATATTTAGTAATATCGGCCGATAATCCATATGATACAGATATATTGTGCATCCCAATTTTAATTTATTTACCTTGTGCCTTAAAAAGTCACTGCTATTTGCAGAAAGCCAGCAAAAACAAGCACAAAACATCGATCCATCCAGAACTCTTATGAAATGCGTTCGCAATGGGGTTACAGGCCAGGCGTCTCCAGGTGAGAAGCACAGAGGTGTTATTGTGAGCCAGATATCCGAGCTGGATTCCTCCATTCCCACATTCCACAGAGGGGCCCAACAAACAAATCAAACTATTGGCTCACGCTATCATACGCTCTGAGTATCAACCTGTCCATTAACTGACCCTTCCAAAAGCTTTACCCACTTGGTAACACTTCCCTGTGAAGGGAAGCTAAAGTAGACATGAACTGGACAGATTTGAAGTAAAATGTGCTTAAAAAGTACAAATTGAGTTATTTTAAGTCAAATTGATGGGCTGGATTGGTGTAATTTTGTAATACATTTTTCTTTTAAACATTATTTCATTTAAATTATGCAATAATCTTGCAGACTTAGCTAAGAGTCAACTGAATGAATGAAGTATTTGGATTACTTATGTTTCAGAGAGCCTGAGAGAGAGCTAAATGCCCATTCACACCAAGAACGATAACTAACTATATACACTCACCGGCCACTTTATTAGGTACCCCATGCTAGTAACGGGTTGGACCCCCTTTTGCCTTCAGAACTGCCTCAATTCTTCGTGGCATAGATTCAACAAGGTGCTGGAAGCATTCCTCAGGGAGTTTGGTCCATATTGACATGATGGCATCACACAGTTGCCGCAGATTTGTCGGCTGCACATCCATGATGCGAATCTCCCGTTCCACCACATCCCAAAGATGCTCTATTGGGTTGAGATCTGGTGACTGTGGAGGCCATTTTAGTACAGTGAACTCATTGTCATGTTCAAGAAACCAATTTGAAATGATTAGAGCTTTGTGACATGGTGGAAGTAGCCATCAGAGGATGGGTACATGGTGGCCATAAAGGGATGGACATGGTCAGAAACAATGCTCAGGTAGGCCGTGGCATTTAAACGATGCCCAATTGGCACTAAGGGGCCTAAAGTGTGCCAGGAAAACATCCCCCACACCATTACACCACCACCACCAGCCTGCACAGTGGTAACAAGGCATGATGGATCCATGTTCTCATTCTGTTTACGCCAAATTCTGACTCTAACATCTGAATGTCTCAACAGAAATCGAGACTCATCAGACCAGGCAACATTTTTCCAGTCTTCAACTGTTCAATTTTGGTGAGCTCTTGCAAATTGTAGCCTCTTTTTCCTATTTGTAGTGGAGATGAGTGGTACCCGGTGGAGTCTTCTGCTGTTGTAGCCCATCCGCCTCAAGGTTGTGCGTGTTGTGGCTTCACAAATGCTTTGCTGCATACCTCGGTTGTAACGAGTGGTTATTTCAGTCACTGTTGCCCTTCTATCAGCTCGAACCAGTCTGGCCATTCTCCTCTGACCTCTGGCATCAACAAGGCATTTCCGCCCACAGAACTGCCGCTCACTGGATGTTTTTTCTTTTTCGGACCATTCTCTGTAAACCCTAAAGATGGTTGTGCGTGAAAATCCCAGTAGATTAGCAGTTTCTGAAATACTCAGACCAGCCCTTCTGGCACCAACAATCATGCCACGTTCAAAGTCACTCAAATCAACTTTCTTCCCCATACTGATGCTCGGTTTGAACTGCAGGAGATTGTCTTGACCATGTCTACATGCCTAAATGCACTGAGTTGCCGCCATGTGATTGGCTGCTTAGAAATTAAGTGTTAACGAGCAGTTGGACAGGTGTACCTAATAAAGTGGCCGGTGAGTGTATAACTATATTAGCGTCTACAACATCGGACGATATCGTTGTATTTATTCTAACCCTCCTGCAGTGTTATAGTCTGTCGCTTTAAATGCTCGAGCTCTTTAAATCAGGATGGATTCTGATTGGCTGTCAATGTTTACTTAATCGTTTGTCAGCTGGAAAACCGATATTGTTTCTCTGTGATGTTATCATTATAGTTGTAGTGTAGACTCTGCTATTCTTTTAGATTTAAAATGGCTTTTAGAACTATATCTTTATCATTGTCGTGCTTCGTGTCAATGAGTCTTATCACAGACAAAAATCAAGATAAACACTCACGTTGCACATCTCTCGCACTATGGCTTTCTCGTTCTCATTCAGGTCTTCTTCGCTTTCTTCTGGAAGCTTCTTGTCCAGATTATCATGGACCTCCAGGACCTGCGAACACATGGTCAAGGGTACTGTAGTCACTCATACGCATACTCAAACTATTGATGTCATTTCCTGCAAAAGAGGGACAAATACTAAAGCAAAACATTTTATTTCAACATTTCTCTCAAAATACTATGCTGATAATACATTTAATAACTGGAAAAAGTATTAAATTAGAAAAAGGGACATTTTATTGGTTCCAAACCATTAAGACTTTCGTTCTTTAGAACACAAACTTCATTGGTTCTCATGCGTTTGCGCTTCTGGTTATCATATTTTGATGCGTGTTGATTGTTTATTTTGCCTTCAGAACTGCTCTAATTCTTCGTGGCACAGATTCAACAAGGTGCTGGAAGCATTCCTCAGAGATTTTGGTCCATTTTGACATGATAACATCTCACAGTTGCTGCAGATTTGTCGGCTGCACATCTATGATGTGAATCTCCAGTTCTTTACATCCCAAAGCAGCTCTATTGGATGGAGATCTGATGACTGTGGAGGCTATTTAAATATGTTGAACTCACTGTCATGTTCAAAAACCAGTTTGAGAGTATTTGAGCTTTGTGACATGGAGTAGCCATGAGAAGATGGTACACTGTGGTCATAAAGGGATGGAGATGGTCAGCAACAATACTCAGGTAGACTGTGGAGTTTAAACGATGATCAACTGGTACTAAGAGACACAAAGTGTGGCAAGAAAATCTCCTCCACATCTTTACAGCACCAGCAGCCTGAACCGCTGATACAAGGCAGGATGGATCCATGATTTCATGTTGTTTACGCCAAATTCTGACCCGACCATCTGAATGTCACAGCAGAAATTGACCAGGCAACGGTTTTCCAATCTTCGATTGTCTAATTTTGGTGATCCTGTGTGAATTGTAGCCCCAGTTTCTGTTTTTATAGCTGATTTTACACCGGTGTGTTTCTGCTGCTGCTGTAGCTCTTCTGCTTCAATGTGTGTTCAGAGATGCTCGCTCTTCTGGAGACCTCGGTGGAAACTAGTGGTTATTTGAGTTATTGTTGCCTTTCTATCAGCTCGTACCAATCTGGGCGTTCACCTCTGACATCAACAAGGCATTTTCACCCACAGGACTGATGCTCACTGGATATTTTCTTTTTCAGGCATTTTCTGTAAACCCTAGAGATGGTTGCGCGTGAAAATCCCAATAGATCAGCAGTTTCTGAACTACTCAGACCAGCCCGTCTAGCACTAACAACCACGCACGTTCAAAGTCACTTAAATCACCGTTATTTCCCCATTCTGATGCTCAGATTAAACTTCAGCAGATCGTCTTGACCATGTCTACATGCCTAAATTCATTGAGTTGCTGCCATGTGATCGGCTTATTAGATATTTGAGTTAATGAACAGCTGTACGTAATAAAGCGGCCGATGAGTATATATAAATAAATATATATGTGCGATTAGATAATGTGTGCGAGTGTGGTAATTTATGTACCTTCATTGCATGAACCACAGCTTCAGGTTTCTGTACAGATGAGATAAACCCAGTGGAGGGAGAAGATTCACTGGTCTGTAGTCGTCCAGTTCCCTGGAGAGGAGAACGCATGGGGTGGTCAGTTACTCCGGGACAACGTTATGATTAAAGGACCATGGTATTCCCATGGTACATCATATTTTTTTTATGGTATCATGGTCTACACTACTGTTCAAAAGTTTGTGGCCAGTATGATTTCTTCAAAAGCAATTAATACTACAATTCAGCAAGCATGAATACAATTGCTCAAAGTTGACAGCAAACACTTACATTGTTAAATAATTATATTATATTATATTTCTTGAGAACAGCATGACTACACTGGTTAACCAGTTAAACCAGCACGATATTATTTATTTTCTTTATACTTCTTTAACACCTACTCGTTGAATATGATTCAAGTCCTGTGACTCATTGCTTTAATTGCTGGTTTGTTATAAATAAAATGATAATTTCAGGGTTGACTCCTGCCTTTTTGTAACTACCTTTCAAACCAAATCTACGCCCTTGTTGTAAAAGATAAGGGCACAACATTAAAAATATAAAAGCATCCTCACAGACATCAACATAGATGTCGGCCCAGATCCAGAATCGTGGAATCCAAACGGCCCGGATGTGGGCCGGATCTGGGCCGACAGTATGATGCTGTCTGTGCTGCTGGAAAAATCAGCTAAACTACTGAAACATGGTACTTGGTTTATAGCTGGTCATTAGTGGGTCAAGTTTGGTTTAAGCGGTCTACCAGCTAAACTAGCGAGGTAAATCGTAACTAACAGTTTTGTAGAATCCGATGCTTCGCCATTCAAGTACACAGGAGCGAAGACTACCAGATGTTCGATACCTGGCTAAGCTGGTAGATCACCATGGTCCTGTTCTCATTGGTGATATATTGACTATTACATCATTGTTAATTAACCGTCTCAACTCAGAGATATGAGGATCATTCATAATGAAAACTACATTCCATCTAAAACATTCATCTTAGCTCAACATTGCACAAGCAGCCCAGACAGCTGTGGAGGACAAAAAGCCCCTGGTTGTGTTTAATCATTCATACCGCATGAAGAGAGCCGGACATGATCCGCATACATTCATACCGACGATGACCACAAAACAGCTAATTTAAAAAACGTCCTCGAACAGAAAATGATGGGGGGAAAGCGCTTATGTGTTGTGCTGTGTGCCGTGTTAATGATGATCTAATAATACACTTCGCTACGCGTTTCATGAGAGAGCTTATCAATCAAACGCTTCTGGAAGGAACTCTTCATATTATGAGATTGTTTCCATGGAAACACGGTTGAATATAGTCATTCTCACTCTAATTAGAGATAAGAGATAAAAAGATATTTTGCGCCAATTTCCCAGGACGTGGCGATTTTGTTCTCTTGAACGCATGGAATGGAAACGCTGCTTTCTTCGCAAATGCTTTATGCGATATAATCCAATGTTGTGGAGTCAAGTTAAATTCGCAACTGGGTGGTTAATCTGGTCAACAAAATTTAAACTGAAAATCAGTTGGAACTTTCTTGACAAAGAGTTGTTGATTACAATAACAGACGCGTTATACTTATAATTTAACGAGTTCAATTAAACCAGAATGTTGATGAAAATATGACAAGTGAAAAATTACACTGGAAGAACAATGCACTAAAAATGCTTTTAGAATAAGAAAAATCCTTAATAATTGTATGATGAGCTAAAAGAGTGGAATATCGCATTACTAACAGGTTAACTAGCTCACTCAGCCACATCCTATTCGCATGAGATTAATCAACAATATTCACAACATCAACATATTACAATGCACTTCATGCAATATTCCTAACAGTCTCTCAAACACACAAAAACAAATGTCTCGTATAAGGAACTCCCAAAACTTGAAAAATTAGCAAATACTTCAGTAAACTCATTATTTCATGGTATTATTTTCAAATAAAATGTGAACACAATCATTAATTCTGTGATTCAAAGTAATTAAATTATATTTCATATTCATATTAATCTTTAATTATCATATACCTGATTAACCATCAGATAATTTAGCGCTACGCACAAAACAATGCTGTGCGATGGTAATGTGAGATGCTTTTGCTTTGATTGGAAGTGACACCAACAATCTATAAAACATGAAAAGGTCAAATGGAATTAAATGGGAGCTTAACCTGTTTTCTCAGTGGAGATGCTGAGTCAAAACAATTGAAAGAAACTCAATTCAAGCTCTGCATTAACGTTATAAAGAATTTCAGCTGACAATGGAGATTTTCAAGCAAGCCTCCCACATAAAACACACCGGCGAGACTTCCTGTGCACTGGCTAAAGGCTCATTAGCATTTCCTTTTATTCATCAGATTTTTCAGCATATGGTTCTGCTAATTTTCCAGGCGACAATTAAAGAAAAAAAATAGTTTTCAAAGATATGAAAAGGGCCTCCGGTTCCATACAGGAAAAGCCTAAAGCCAAGTACAACAGATGAAAGTTGACGTACCAAGGATCTCCTTTTTTCCCAAAGAATCGTGCCAAACTGATCAAGCTGAGCTTTCTTGTTATAATAGTCTCCCTGTGCGTTCTATGATATCTGGTTTGATCTATTTTTTTCTGGGCTGCCAGTGCCAATTGATGACAAATTTAAATCGAATTAATTGCATAATTAAATACATGCCGATTTATTACCTGAATTAAACACTTCAATATTTTCTGCGAAAAGCCCCCAAAAGTAGGTTATTTGAAGACATTTTTTGCTGTAGACCAGTACATAATTAAACAGAAATGACAAAAAGTTCGTTTTATTCCATATCATTGAACACAATCCCATCCCTCGGCTACAATCCACAGTAATTTAATTGTTTGTTCAGAATCGAATGAAGTCACTCAGGACATGTTCTTCTATTTCCAGCTGTGCTACTTTTAACTTTGTGCACACGTTTAGACTGACTTGAGTCATTTTTTTAATTCACAATACCATATTTTCCAGAAAATAAGTCGCACCTAAAAACTGCATTGAGAGAAAAAACACACACAGATAAGTCGCATCGGTGTATTAGTCACATGTTATTATTACATTCAAAAATAATGTAAAATACCAGTAAAAAAACAACAACTAAAAAACATTTACAAACATAAACACTATAAACATATATTTTAGTTCCCCTCACGCCACAACAAATCCTTACAACTTAAAGAAATGAAAATAGAACAGGAATGAAACAAATATTAGTGGCATTTATTATGAACAACACTTGTTATAAATAAAACTAAATTCTTTATCTAATGTATAGGCAAGACAAGTAGTTTGTTCAGGCATGGTTTGTAGGGAAATTACAAACCTGCGCACATATATTCAAACGAATATAAGTATAGAATCAATTCTTAATGCGCATGTGAACGCCATCAGGTCACAGGTTCGCGTTTAAAGTCTGTTTAGAGAGAACGCCGTCGTCTTAGTGGCCCCTAATTTGATAACAAATGATCATTTTGCTGGAAGTGAATCAATCAAAACTAACTTTAGCTGGAAATATCATTATTCAAAAATCGCTATAAAGCCAAAACAATCTCTGCTACCGTAAATTGTATGTTTATCTCTGTAAAGCTGCTTTGAAACAATCTCCATTGTTAAAAGCGCTGTATAAATGAAGATGACTTGACTTGACTAAAAGCCAAGCCTAAATGAATTTATTCAAAGCGAAACAGAAACTGGTTTCTGGTAACGAATGTGGGAATTGAGCTACAAATGTACCTCTCAGTTTGGCACGAATCCAAATGTGAGTTTTGCGCAGTTTTACCTGATGTCAATTGCATTATACAAGTTGCTTTGGAATATAAGTCGCCGCACATTGATGTAGATTTAGAGATTTTGATCAAAAACGTGACTTGTATTTGGAAAATACGGTAATAACTTGTACAGATTTGTCTTTGAGAGGATCACTCACATTCAGCAGAGCCTCCTGCCTCTGGGGGAGCGAGGACAGCTGCGACTCGGAGCGGTACAGGGTCGTGCCTTTGCGCAGGACACGCAGGTCTCCTGGGGTACACTGGATGGAGAGAGAGCATATTAAACACTCCACCAAACAAAACACACTTCACTGTTATCAACGACAATAATAGTGGAAAGATTAAAAAGTGGGAGAAATATAGTTTTGTAAGTCACGGCCTGTATGAGGAAAGAGGAGACAGGTCACGTGTAGAAAAAGTATTGAGAGAAATTGGGAATATCTGCTTCAATTAAAAGAAGAATTGTTAAAAATCAGCTGACTAGATCTTGACTAGGTGGGCTGGCTTGGAAATGTTATTGAAACATATGCTTGAAAAAAAGATTGAAAGATTTTGGTCTTTTCCCCTTTCAAACAAATAAGCTGTACATCTATACGCTGATTTCACGCAGCCGCCATTTTGAAATCGAAAGCGAGGCTCCGGTGGGAAGAACCCTGGAAGTACAGATAGACAACAATGGCTTGGACTACCAACCTGAAGCTGCTGCCGCGATTTACACTATTGGATGTTAATATCCAATATAGGATATGTATATAGTTCGTTCCTGCTTCTTTTTTTACGTTCTGAATTATACAGTATATAAAAAAATTATTTTATTTATAAATTTCACTGTATATAGCCTAAAGTATGAAAGAAATGTATGTACATTTTTAGAACAACTAATTTCTACATTAAACACAACAATACGCCATCGCATTCGCGACTCTCCAATGATTAAAGGCGACACTTCCGGTTTTCTTCCCACCAGAGCCATTTCAAAATGGTGGCTGCGTGAAATCAGCGTATTGCATACAAAGACGACAGCTACCAAAGGGGTTTTCAAGATGGCCGCCGAGTGAACCGACTAGCTTAAGGTCTATTCAAAGGTCTATTGTATTCAAAGTCAAATGTGTTTTATTTAAATTTTCTTCAACTTTCATCCATGTTTTCATTGCTTGATTCTCAGGAGATGATGTACAACATATTTATGCTATCTTTAGTGTTGCAAGTGTTTGAATGTCAACAAAGCCATCTGTTAGCAAAAGAAAAGCTTTAGTAAGCTCTTTGTTTTGCTTGTGTTAACAACAGAGAAGATCGTTTTATTATGACATAATGTAGTAACTTTGTTCACGAATTTGATTAAAAGTGATTTTTTATCATTAACTGTGCACATGCTCACTGGGTAGTGAGCTCAATAGACGCGTTTGTGTGAAATCACGTTCCTGCATCTCGTCAAAATCAGATTCAGAGTTTCAAAATAGGAAAACTGACTTCAAAGGTGCGTTCTTTTGCACTTTCCCAAGTATGAAGTTGTTGTATGAATTAGCATGAAGTATGGATTCTGTGTTTCTGAGCTGAATGAAACGTAGCATTACTACCCTCGATCAGAGCGAACTCCCACACAGCTTCCTGTAGGTATTCTTGTCCATATAATAGAGACACCCACAGGCTCCAGCTGGCATCATCTCTAATCACCAGTGATCCTTATGACATTTTCAATGTCTTGCTTTCATGTCCTCTGAATGCATGTGATTACTGTAAGAAGACCTATAAATAGCTCTGTCACTCTCTTTCAGAAGAGAAACCGTGTTTTCGGTGGCTGCAAGGAAGATGTGAACTTCACGTTTGCCTGCAACCTAAACACACTGTCTCGCCCACTAACCATTCATGGTATTTAGGACACCTTGATGCAGCACTGATGTACTTGTATAGAAAAGTACCATTTTGTTTGTATGCGGTGTAGAATTTGATGAAGAATGCTGATCAAACTTGGCAGAAAATACTTTTTTTATTTTATAAAAAAGCAGATGCCTAGAATAACATGTGTTTTGTAACTTATTACAGTAATGTATTAATACTTTGCTATGATGCTGCAGATCCCCTTAAAGGGGCTATATGTATTAATCGCTGTGTGTAACGAAACTTAAAAAACAAGACCTTCTCCGACTTCCTACAGTAGGTTGTCTATGAAAGCCTGTAGACTGATTTTTATGTGAAGGACGGGTCATTTTTGCCGAGGAAATCGAAAGGATGTGACGTTTACAAGCACTCCAGAGATCCTCTCTCCTGTTCAATGACACATGAAACGAATGCTTATACAATGTTCAGGATAATGTCGACAGGGCTATTCTGTACAGTAATGTCAATGTGTCATGCAAAGAAAAGGTATTGATTCAAACTATAGTTTCACAGAGCTTTCTTAACTACCACTTTCTTATCGATTTCATTTTTGTTGTGTTTATTTTATTATTGAGAGGAAAGCATGCAGCGCATATTTACATATTCATCTAAACGTCGCTCTCAGCAGCGTGGAAGACGTCTGGATGTTCGTGAACAGTATATCGCTGTAACTTATTTTTAAACTCTAAGTGAAGAACGAAAAAGACCTTCGCCGTGAGTATATCGAGGCTTTGAGTCACATCGAGTCTCTTGTGTGTTACGCGTGCATGAGTGTGAGAACGAGCAGCAAGTTGCTGACTGCAGTTCACTTAATGGCCACCGGTGTCGCTAAAAACAAGGGTTTCTGAATTTCACATATAGAAAATAATTTAAATAATTATAATTGGAGAGTTTTCTATCCTTCTTCAGGATATTCATCCTGTCTTCATTCTATGACTGTTTGTTGAGAAATGATCCAGTTTGAAATACAGCTTCTTCTAAAGTTGCTGAGAGAGATGTCTTTTTCCTGAGAAAGAGAAGGAAAACTATGCCCAATTTACAGAGGGCATACAAACAGGGTGTGTTTGTGCATAGTTACCTACTGGAGAAGGTAAAAATTGGTTCAATTTAAGTTCGTTATACAAACTGTAATGGTTCAATTTGATTTATAAGATGGAATTCTATAGCCTGACTACGTCAGACTTCGTACTTCCGCTCAATTTCATTTCGCTTCTGTACTCAGTCTGAGACATCGACATGTCTCTCAGACCCCATTTACACCTGGTATTAAAATGCGATCTGTATCCAGATAAGTTATAAGTAAATAAAAAACGCATGTTAATGCAAGGTGTAAATACGTTGTGATCGGATTGTGATCGGATCTGCCTGACCACATCTGGAGGTAGTCTGGCTCGCATTGTGTTCGGATCTTTACTAGGTGTAAACGCAATCGTACCTGCCAAACGTCATTTTTTTTCTGGAGGACAGAGGCCTTGTCCACACGGACACGGGTATTTTTATAACCGTGACTTTTTTTTACGCGGTTCGGCCGTTCGTCCACACGGAAACGCAGTATCAGGACACTGAAACCGAACATTTTTGAAAACCCCTGCCAGGGTGAGGATTTTCAGAAATGCCGGTTACAGTGTTGTCATGTAGACAGTAAAACCGGGGTTTTTGCCTTGCGACGTCAGTGTGCGCCCGCGCTGCGCCGTTGCCCGTTATCCGCCTACCGGAACCTGTAATAACTTTTTGTTAGGCTTCTGATTGGCCAACGTGGCTTTGCGGTTAGGGTTATATCGCCGCCTGCTGGTGTGGCATGCTCTTGACAGTGCTTGATAGCGTGTTTTTGCGTTTTCATGTGGACGGGTTTTTTATTAAAACGCAGGAGGAAAAACTCCGGTTATAAAAATACCCGTGTCCGTGTGGACAAGGCCAGAGATCCGAACTCAATGTGGATAACGAGAACGCATTAAAAATACAAGGTGTAAACGCAAAGGTAAGATCAGAACACTTATTATCCGGATAACTTATCTGGATACAGATCTCATTTTAATACCAGGTGTAAATGGGGTGTCAGTTTTCCTCCGGCCTGAAAACAGCCGGCCAATCAACGAACAGAGGGCGGGCTGAGAGCCGTGACGTAGACGCTAAGCGCCGAGTTTAAGATTGTATTTTGGGTTAGGGAAATCAAAAACGACCGCGGATATGGAGACACGGGATGCAATTCTCTCTGCTGTGGAGAATATTCCCGGCATTTCCAAACTGAAGCCCGAACAAGAAGAGTGTTTGTTAAACATTTTGAATGGATGTGATGTCGTGGCTCTACTCCCGACAGGTTTTGGTAAAAGTTTAATTTATCAAATATTACCGATCGTCAGCGAGAAACTGGGCAGGCCAAAGGCCGGCAAGGCGATAGTTGTGATTGTGTCCCCCTTGGTTGCACTCATGGAGGATCAGGTTAAGGAGGCAGCAAAACTCGGTCAGCCATGTTCACTCCGGTATTTCGCTCGATGGTTTCGTTTTCGCATCATACCTGTGTTTACAGTGGAAGTTCGATGCGGCTAAGCTGGCGAATAACACACGTCATAACCAAACGTTATGTGATTGGCTTACGGGTAACCAATGATTTTATACTTCAGACAAGCGCCCCGGCGAGAAAGAAAACACTTTTCAATGATGACATGCCAGACTCTGTCTATGAAGCAAAGCGAAGTAGCAGAGTTTGGTATTACCAGGCTAGGAATTCTATTCAATGGTGTCCAAAATTCTGAGAAGCATTATATGAACACCTTGTGTTTGTTGTTGAAATGAGCCTGAATGCACCGAGGGAGTGTCAGAATTCCTGCAGACTGACGTTATTGCGCGTCTACCGTGTCAATAGAAATAGGTTCACCTGCACCGCCGGAATGCAACCCGTTCGAAGGGCCAACATTCCTCACCTGAATGTATTGTTGCTATGACAACATCCGAGTAAACATCAAGCAATTAAAAACATCTGAATACAAAAGAGTAGTTATTCCTGACTAGACAGACACACTTTGCATTCTTTTCACATATTTAATTATCGTTAAACTAGAGATGAGTAGGATCATCCTGTCACTCAGCAACAGACTAGTAGTCAATTACTGTCTGGACTTTGTTTTTTTAATTTAGCTTTAATATTTTAGCAGTAGTGATTCAGGAACAAAAGTTAATTCCCATCAAAACACTGCTTTGTGTAACAAATTCACCACATTGAACAATAAATTATTGGCAATTAATGCACATTTGTTTAGAGAAATGTGTTGCATTCTGTTCTATTCTTTTTTTTTGAACACATGTCGGTCTGATGGACTGGAATTATACGGTTTCTTCATTCAGTCAGACTACCCAAAAACTAGTGAGTTTTGAACATAAGCACGTCCGTATTTTACTGCACAGTCAAATATCATTTAATGCAACTCAACTGGATTCAAACTTGACAGACAGTGCTAAAACAAACAAAAAAAAGAATGGTGCATCTTCTTAGAAAAGATTAGGGACGATGGCCAAGACAGATAAGGGGGCATTTATTAAAAATTTAAATATGTTCATACTCATCTTTACATCCATCAGTTTGTCAGACATGAAAAATTGATGCTGCACTACCTGTGTTGCTTGAATAAAAGATAAGATCAGAAAGAGGGGCAAGCATATGAGCTCATGCGCCATCAGCCCAGCATGTTAGCACAAGCACTTAGACTAGCATGCCATTTTACACACCAGCTTTTTAAGTTAGAGAACGTGAATACAAAGATAAGAAACAAGCAAGAAGAGAGCTAGGAGGAAATAAAGCTCCATCACCACTGAGCAAACGTGTGGTAAAGTTACCTTCATGGACAGCTTTGATAAGCTATAACGGCTACAGGGCTGGAGAACACAAGAGACATTTCACAAACCAATTAAACACATTCTAATCATCAGATTGCCTATTCAAACAGAAGGCTTCAGACTTCACATTTTTGTGTTAACCCTCTGTTGCTGCTCACATGGTTTCTCATATCAACAGAAAAATATACCAGGTGTTGACTTATGAATTTGCACATGGTTTGTCTTAAAGGACATTAAAACTCCACATATACATATAAACAACAGTAAAAACTTAAATCACACACATATACTTAAAGGGTTAGTTCACCCAAAAAATGAAAATTCTGTCAGTAATTACTCACCCTCATGTTGTTCCAACCCCGTAAGACTTTCGTTCATCTTCGGAACACAAATTAAGATATTTTACGCAAAAAACAAACAAAAATAACGACTTTATTCAACTAATCATTTCCTTCTCTGTACGGCCGTGATATTTCACGTAGGGAAACTACGCAAAGCTTCTAGGTTGTATGTCACACGCATCACACACATGACCAGCGTCGGCCAATAGTGAGCCTACGTGTGACGTGCAACCTAGAAGCTTTGCGCAATATCACTACGTGAAATATCACGGCCGTACAGAGAAGGAAATGAATAGTTGAATAAAGTCGTTATTTTTGTTTGTTTTTTGCGCACAAAAAGTTCTCGTCGCTTGATAAACTTAAGATTGAGCCACTGTAGTCACTCGGACTATTTTAACGATGTCTTTCATAACTTTTGGGCCGGTCAGTTTCGATCCATTAAGATCCTTCGGATGAGACGTTAAACCGAGGTCCTGACTCTCTGTGGTCATTAAAAATCCCATGGCAAAGAGTAAGGGTGTAACCCCGGTGTCCTGGCCACATTCCACCCATTGGCCCCTGGCAATCATGGCCACCTAATAATCCCCATCCACTGAATTGGCTCTATCACTCTCTCTCCTCTCCACCTATAGCTGGTGTGTGGTGAGCGCACTGGCGCCGTTGTACTGTGGCTGCCGTCGCATCATCCAAGTGGATGCTGCACACTGGTGCTGGTTGAGGAGAGAACCCCTGATATGATTGTAAAGCGCTTTGGGTGTACACTAGTACATATGAAAGCGCTATATAAATGCCTCATTCATTCATTCATTCATTCATAAGAAGCCTATGGAGGAATGATCCAGCTCTCAGATTTAATCAAAAATATCTTAATTTGTGTTCCGAAGATGAACGAAAGTCTTACGGGGTTGGAATAACATGAGGGTGAGTATTTACTGACAGAATTTTCATTTTGGGGTGAACTAACCCTTTAATGTATTTAATCTCACTTTATTAACCAATGTCTTTTCAGCTGACCTTTGATCATCCAATTTAACCATACTAATAAGCAAAAATTACTTTAGATAAACATACATTTTTTAGTTTTTATTGCTTAAGTGAGAGTGTTGAACTTTCTTCTCCAGCACAGCTGAAAGATTTGTTTGAGCTGCGCCTCTCCTTCATTCATTTCACTTTTGGTGTGAAGGGGCTCTTACATTTAACAAAAATAGATATTTTGTTTATTTATTTAAAAAAAAACACAAAAAAAAAAACAGTCCAGGTGAAAAAAAGTAATGCAAAAGCAACATTTACAACATTTACTGTGTGCCATTTACACAATTACTTTTCTTAAAAAGTAACCAGGTAAAGCAATTACTTACTTTTTAGGTAGTAACGCAATATTGTAATGCATTCTTTTTAAAAATAACTTTTCCTAACACTGGTGACCAGTTTCTACCATGACGTGAATGTGACATTTGTCAGCAAAATAAAGACTTCTAGGCTCTTTCCATGACAACAACATGTCAATCTCAGGGTCACAAGTAAGTCACAAACCAAAAGTGTCATCTATCACAACAGCTGAAATGGCTTTTAGGAAAAGCTTAGTGTAGGTATCCTGGGAAATCACGAGTTCAGCTCGGTTCATGTGCGCTCAGGACAGCGTTCTCTGAAGGATTGAGCTCTCCTCTGAATTAATCATGCTTCAAGTGAATGCGCTCGATCTCGGAGGACTGCGCCGATGAGACGAAAACCGTTTTCTCTCATTTGACCGGAGGGAGAAAGTAACTCTCTTGCATTTTAATCATACTCTTACAAAGTGCTTTCCATCCTGGGGATAAAATGCTTTCAGACATTCAAAGCCCTATGTTCCACATGTTCAGATATAGAGACTCAAATAGCTTCGACTCGAAAAGGCACAACATTTTAAGCGTACCGCCGTCTGATACACCCACATCCGCTGCGAGACAGAGGGGGGCTGGCGATGAAAACGTAATGAGGATATATGATTAAAAGAGAGAATTATTGCAGATCCAAGGACTCTTTGCAAGCCCTTGGCCAATGCCAACACTCTCGGCTTTGTTTCTATGAATACTGTGATGAATTCTACCTACAAAGGGCTTCATGAGAACTGCTTTGTAGTCAGTATTTCCAGTGCCCACACAGTGTTTTTATTCTCACTAGAGACTGAAGGAATAATTCACCCAGAAATACACCACCGTGTCATTCTGAGTATACGACTTTCTTTTATCCGTGGAACACAAAAGAAGAAATGCTAAAGAAAGGACTGGCTGCTCTTTCACTGTACATATTAAAGTGAAAGGTCTGACCCAGGGAAGTCAAAAGTGGTTAATATGGCTTGCCACACAACAGTCGTGACACTGGCCACATCGATGTTCTGATTTCATTGATGTCAAACCTTAGCCTGGGTTTCCCCATACTGCCTTTGCGCAGCACGATTTTATTCACGCTGTTAGTCAGTCTGGATACCATGGACCAAATTTTTGACTCAGCGAGGGGACCAATCACAGAACGGGGAGGGAGCAGCAAGACGACGTCTATGTGACACACCGAAGCAGTTTGTTTATTCCTATGGATCAAACATGGCTGCAGATGCGAAGTTACCTTTCGATGCACCCTTGGATATTGTTCTAAGTAGTTTAGAACACAAATAAATCTCTGACCCATCGTCTTCTTCCTCGTCTAATTTCTTTCGCTCTACATACGTCATTTGGTATAATTGAAACGATTGGCTATGAGCTACATACAGGCGCATTTGATAGACATTCGTAGCACCCAATAAACGGCTCTGGGCATTCGTAAACCCCGCCTCAAATACGAGAAAATGAACATGTGGTTCCCAGACCACGTCTCAATGTCAATGAGACGTGGTCTGACGTTAGCCAGGCTAGTCAAACCTGATATCTAGCAACAAATGCCATAGTTCTATTTGAGTGGGTCAGAGAAACGGAACAAATGATTTTGACTGAAATATATATTTTTTAATAAAATATATTTGTTCATTGAACAACAAAAACATTTTTTAAAATGTTAAATATTTAATTGTAATCCCATGTCTTTTATTCTCACCATGGCTGCATTTATCTGATCAAAAATAGTCAAAATAGTAATACTGTAATATTATTACAATTTAAAATAACCATGTAATTTATTCCTGTGATGCAGCAAATCAACATATTAGACTGATTTCTAAAGGATCATGTGACACTGAAGACTGGAGTAATGATGCTGAAAATGAACTTCACGGGAATTAATTAACTTCAAATATTTTAAAATAGAAAATTATTTGAAATGGTAACACTATTTCACAATATTACTGTTTTTACTGTATTATGAATCCAATACATGCAGCTTTGTTGAGCATAAGAGACTTCTTTCAAAAACATTATTTCAAACCTTTGCCCGGTAGTGTGTATATATATATATATATATATATATATATATATATATATGTAAATGTTTGTATTTGTAAACGACGAGTTGATTTTTGATTTATAATGTAATGTTGATATTTTAAAGCTTTTTTTGGTGGACATAATACATTCCATTCATTACATTAATACATCTATTTTGCTCATTGCTTAAGAGGAGCACATTAGGCAGGATTTACAACAATTAAAAACAGCAATCCTTGTAAACGATTAACTGATTAATTGAAGAAATATTCAACAGATGAATTGGTAATCAAAACAATTATTACAGATAGTAGCAGCAGCCAGAGTCGAGGGTAACTCATTACAAGTAACTTGAGTTACATAATCAGAGTACTTTTTTAAGTAACAAGTAAACTAATGCATTCATTTTAAATTTACAGCAAAATATCGAACTTTTTCAAATAAGTAACGCAAGTTACTTTTCCACATTTATTGACTGACAGCTCGCCTGTCCTCATGTTAGGACAAATTAAGTGCAGAAGACGTTGTGTGTAAACATGATGGTTTAGTCTAAATTAATAAACTCAGTGAAATGCAAAATCAGAATAACACGCAAACCTCCAATAATTAAATATGTTAAATCAAACAAATATTTGTATGCATTTGATCTCACTTTATTGACCAATGTAGTTGCTTCTGACCTTTGGAAATGACTTTAGATTTTTTGTTTATATTGGTTAAGTAAGTGTTAAACTTTTTTCTCCTGCGTCCTATTCTTCTTTTGCTGCGTCCTCTACTGTATACGCGTGAATTTGCATTTCCTTCAGCCTTATTATTTCAATTTTGGTCTGAAAGGGCCTTTACATTTGCCCAAAAATAGAACTTTTTTTATATATAAAAAGAGAAAAACAAGCCCAGCCTACGTGAGAAAAAGTAACGTACCGCATTGCTTTTCATAAAAAGTAACTAAGTAACGCAATTAGTTACTTTTTAAGGGAGTAATGAGATATTGTATGCAATACTTTTCAAAGTAACTTTCCCCAACACTGGTAGCAGTCAAGTACAGTCATCAAAGTACAGTTATTTGTTTGATTTTTGGGGGAACTATCCCTTCACCTGCTTTTAAAGAGGAACACTGTGGCTTCTTTTCAACAATACCTCTGTGAAGCCGTGAAAATGTAATTGTCCCTCACTTCTTTAAATATGCACGTCTTATTCCTACCTACACAAGCTTGAGGTGAAAGAACTATCGAAATCCTTTTCAAGTGCAGAGGAGAGTGGGTGGAATGCTCCTCTGCTGGATGGGTTCACGGCAAGCGTTTTGTTGTATATGTCTGTACTACAGTGGGGAAATACATTTCTGACTTTTGGTGATAAGCAGGTTGATTGCGGTACCCTCAGGATACATAGGTGAACTTTAAATGCTCTTTCGGTTGGTAAAACCCACTCATTCTCCATGAGAGAGGTTAAATTGAGGCCACAGACGCTCAGAGATGCCCACACAATCCCAGCGTGACGGTAAGCCGCTTCTTCTTCATGCCAGAGGGGATGCTGTGTGCCAATTTAACAGTTTGACCCACCATGAATTAAAGATTGGCTGCCTCTTTCATAACCCAAAACTGCCACCACTAAAGTTGGCACCCGATGGCAAATCTAGGTCTAGTTACTCATATATGCAAGTGCTATAGAAAGAAAGCATGTTGTTAACTCAGTCCTTACTTGTGACAGAAGTTTGTTGTTATTGTCCTCTAGAATCCGGACCTTGGTTTCCAGCTGGCGAATGTAGTTTGAGGATGCATCTGTAAGACAAAATAAAAAAGGGAGAACATTTAAAATCGAATGTAAAGAAAAACAAAACATAGTATTAGTAGTGTCACAGGTGGCTTTTGTGAACTGAGAATCATTTATGAGAATCAATTTTTGCTGTGAACTTACTGTAAAGAAACATTTCAGGTTGGACCTCCTGAACAAACACACTCTACAAGACCAACAATTGCTCATTTCTTTAGTTCAGCATAAGTGTCAATCATATTCAACAAATGAATCGATGAACAAGTCTTTTTTGGTGCTGTAATCAAAAGATTCGTTGAATCAAAGTCACAAACACTAATTGGCGCATCAGGTGAAGCATTTTGAAGCCCAAAATCACATACCTTTGATATTTTTCAAACTGCTTAAACACTATAACAAGGTGAAACTTCAGTTTAATTAAAGACTTGAGAATTCACCCTGTGATCTATTTTGGGGTTTGTTTTGAATTGATTCAGCCTACTTAATTTCTCATGCATATGTGTTTTTAATTTAATCCCAGTGCTTTAAGCCTAAAAGTAGCCTCCCTTCTGGTAACACAGTTGAGATTATTTCTCTGTACACAGTGTCAAATAATTCAAAAGACCAAAAGCGTCATGCATGGTTTGATGTGGTCTGTACAGAGCCAGTAACATGACTAAAACTACTTTCAATTTCTGGGCTGACATCATGGTTCTGGCTATGACCGCATGGTAAATTATACACCACATCACAGACCTCGTAACATGCAAGACAAAAAACAAACAAGAAAAGGAATAAATCCAATGCAATACTGAATTAAAAGATCACAGGATACAGGGTTTAGATTAAGTGAATGATAAGTACAACGTTCTGTCATGAAACTCTAGATGGCGCAGGCTGATAGATCCTTAACTCAATCTGCTCGCAGTCACATCATTCTCTATAGGGCACAGCTGATTGGTTCCTGCTGTATCAGTAGCCAATGAACTCGCTGCCTAACCTTCAAATACTTGGTCCCCATTTGCAGCGCACTTTCAGAAAGCCTCCACCCTCCCCAGCTCCACCTGTATAGATCTGCTACAGGTAAATCATGTATGCTATTGTACAGTAGCAGCAGCAGCATGTCTTACTTGCTCACAGGAGCGTGTCGTGTTTGTATTGGCAATAGCAAGTCCCGCACTTGCTCTGCAGCAGCAGCACCATAGGAGATCTATTCCACCAAAACCAAACATCTCAACTTTGTCATATCCATTACCAATGCCAAACACTCCAAGACTTGTCATGAGAGAATTATTCTACCGCAGTCTACAGCTGCTACTCTAAACTGCTGTAGATGTTACAGCAGTGAACTTTACAAAGAAATCTGTAACTGTAAATGTCCCAATGCCTATAAAGGGTGTCATATGTCAAGCAACTGTTTATACCTGGCTTTAAGATTTGCGTTTTGGTCGATCGGATTACAAGTGGACGGCGCTAAATACAGGTTTAAACGGGGTCTAAAACGTTTTGAGCTTGTCCATTTCGACCATTTCCAGAGGTAGTTGAAAACACATTCGACCGGATTATATTTTTAGCAAAAACATTTAAAGTCCCCCTGTGGAGAAAATCAAGTTTTTAATGTTGTTTATATGTCTATGTGGTGTTTTTAATATGCTTTTATGTATAGATTCAACACCATTGCTGAGTATTTTCTCCTTAAAACTGCAGTGAACCAAAGACAGTCTCAAAAACGCGGTTTGAAATCACTGGTGTTTCTGACGTCACGAACTACCATGTAACCAATCAGATCAACATGTGATCGTCAACGAGTGGATCTCTGAGCTGGTGTGAGTGAGTGGAGGCGGGGCTCATTTGCATATTCATAGAACCGCGTATACTAAATGAGGCAAGGGTGTAGAGTTACATTCAAGCTATTTTAAGGCATGACGTTTTTTTTTCCAAGGAAAAAAAAATGTTTAAATATGTCATTTAGGTGAACAAAGATGAGTTTTGAGGGATAAAATTCTTGACTACAGGGGGACTTTAAGTGAAAAACACAGAGACTTTTTTTGAGTCATGAAGCAAACAAATCGTTAAATTATAGTTTTGAATAGATTCATTGAAAATGGCCATTTGAACTAATTAATGGGAACAACTAGGAGCATTGTCCCACCCCTCAGATGAGGGGACCCACTAACTAAATGTGACTTTACACTCCCATAACATATTTCCTGTTTGTAAAATATATTACGCTGCAATTTAACATTTGGCCTTATTGACCAACTGAGCAAACTGACCTTACTTTCCGACCTTCTCAAGTTCACCAATTACTATTGTGAGCAGAAATAAAAGCACACTATAACTAACTTTTTTTTAAACTGTTTAAGGCATGCAGTTTGTTTCATTTGGCTATCCAATGAATGAAATACATGTGCTGACAGTTAGCTGGGAAACTGGGAAATTGTCACAGCCAAAAGTTCCTTTTTGAGGAAGAAAAGACAAAAAGTGTTTATGTGCTGATTTTAATCATTTAATTAATGCGCTTCTGTTCAGTTTTTGTGAAAATATCAAAAATGAATGCCACACAATAATGTTGGTCATATTTCCTCTGTTATAAAAGAGTCATTTTATATGCCAACTGTGTTGGCAGGGTGTATAAGATGGGTGGCATTAGTTGTTAGCCTAAAAGCTAAACCCACTGGCGTGTCTGAGTAAAGCCCTCAGCGGTGGACAGCGAGGCAGTGCTGGGCGGCTGCAAATCCCTAGTGACACTCTAATCTAACTTCATCTGGCTGAATGAACTATGGGCACGGGCCAAGCCGATTAAGAATCAACTTCGATCCACAAAATCTCTGGACCAGCGTCCTAGTGAAAAGATCCACCCACTACCAAACACCACTCCAACCAGAACCAGCTTCAAGAAATATGGGTCACACTTTAGTTTAGGGTCCAATTCTCACTATTTACTAACTATTAACTGTCTTTACCCTCAATAAACTACTAATTTAATGCTTATTAACAGTTAGAATGGTAGTTTAGGTATTGGGTAGGATGGGATGTAGAATATGGCATTAATATGTGCTTTATAAGTACTAATAAACAGACAATATCCTAGTAATATGCATGCTAGTAAACAACTAGTTAATAGTGAGAATTGGACCCTAAACTAAAGCATTACCGAAATATGACTCCACTATACCCAAAAGCAGTTATAAACATCCAGTTTTCATACTCAGCCTCATCAGAGCTATTGGTTTGAGGACAACATAACTGACCTTTTGCTATACGATTCAGCTGAAACGACAACGAACATTAAAACAACTCTATGTTAAGTCTTCACAAATCCCTCTGGGCCTGATTCAAGATAACAACCAGTGCATGTATTATTCAGTATTTCATATTCAAAACTAGTATACTCGCAGTGGTTAAGTATTCAGGGCTTGACATTAACACCAGCGCGGGTGGATTTCAGCAGTGGTGTGTAACGCAGTCACTCCTACTAGCCACTTTAGCTGGTTGAATTTTATATATAAGTTATTACACGGCTCTGTGGAATACTTGATTCTGATTGGTCAATCACAGCATCTAGCGGTATGTTATTCCCCCAATAACAACCTGTAAAAACTGATAACACAGGCTCATCCGGGTTACTGAAGTCGGCGCTTTACACTCGCTAGGAAAGATTTTTCCTGGTGGAAGTTTTGTGTTTGGTGAGCTAATAAAATATTAAAACTCAAATCAATATTTTGTGCAGTTATTTAATTATGTCATCTGGGTATCGTGGACTCACTCTCTCGTTTCATACAAATGCAGCCGATGCCATTTTGAGACGATTGTTTTGTGCTTGCCTTGTACACTATAACAGATTATAAGATAACAAACATGTATGATTAAGTTTAATCTCAAATTAATATCTCTTATATACCTCTATATTATTATATAAATATATTATTATTATTTATGTCTTGAAATACCGTGTAATAGATGGTATGACTGAACCATATCCCTTAAATGCCCGTCTAGTTTGAACTTGCTGTTTGCTAGCAACTACTTTCTCTGCAGAAGCTTGTGTTTGAAGAGCTAATGAAATTATTTTTTTATTTAAAACTTATTTTAAATAAACAATTAATTTTAGGATTAATTGCAGTGTTTAATAGTTCATATGCCAGTCCGTAACTTAAATTTTACTGTTATATATCCAAATTTTTAACGTTAGAGGAGCACGGCCATTTGTAGCTTGAATGTGCAAGGCTTCCAGTGTCATTCTCATTTGCTTCCAGTTATGTACACAAAAAGTCTGTTATGCTGCTTGATTTTGCAAACTGGCATTTACCTATAGAGGCGAATTAATTGGAAGTCTCGCACATCTTGTCATCAAATAGCTTCCGTGTTGCAAATTAAGGTGTACTTATCTGTAAATGTAACAAATTCAAAAGTTACGCAAGTATTTCCATATATACTTTATATTTCATATATACAATCTGACTATTTTGACTAAAAGTTGACTAAAAGTTATTTTTGTGTTTGTATTGTTTGGTGTGTATGTCTGTATTGTTTATTTTCGCAGTTTATATGGTAAAAAAAAATTGCACATAATGGACGCCATATCTTGTAGTTTGGTTTACTATATCACAGACATCACAAATGTATTGAGAGACAACACTGCATATCATGATCAAATAAATCTAACACGCTGATCAGCTATTTGCCCATGTTAGTTCAGTGAACTGACATGGATGTTTGTGTGTGGCGGCACGACGTGGATGAGTGTGTGGGGGTGGGGGACTGAGTCTGGCCCTCTCGCTTTGTCGCTTCCAATCGCATCAGCAATGCCATGACCCACTTCCATACACTGCGGCACAAGGCTCACGCGGGAATCTTCAGGATAGGCCACAGCAAACGTAAAGCTGTCTTCATGACACCGCAAGCACCCCCTTTCAACAGCAGTCGCACCCAAATCCCACAAAAGCAGCAGGGCTTGTTCCGAGAGAACTGAGATGAATTCAGACTTCTTGGAAACACGCTGATGAGCCTACAGGAACACTGTCGT